CTGCCTCTGTGATTCTCAGCCCCTTCCCCTCTCTGGGCCTCAGTTTCTTCACCAATACAACGAGGAGGAAGTTGGGTCCCATCCATGTTCTTTGGGAGTTCAGGGGCCTGGGTTCCTAGGAAAGGCTCCTGACCTTGGCCTCAGAGGCCACTGGGTTCAATGCCTTCAGTTTATAGGGTGGGAAACTGAAGCCCAGGTAGGGGAAGGGCCTCTCCCACGTCCAGGCAGCAAAGACAGGATTCACACCCAGATGCTCTGGTTCCAAAGCCGGGAGGGTGGGGGGGGGGGGGGCCCAGGCCTGCCTCCTCCTTGCCGGGTCTGCCCTAGCCCTGCCGTGTGTCCTCGGGCCCGCTGCGGGACCCCTGACACAAGCAGCAGACCTGGCCTCCTCTCTCGGGCCTCTTATCTCACCGAATCTCTGAAGTCAAGACCCCTTGACTGGCTGGTAGGGCTAAGAGGCTGAGGCTGGGCCCTTCATCCTCCTTCCTCACTGCTGGGAGATCTGGCTGAGTCCTGGCAAGGAAGGAAGCGGGGGATGGGTTATGGGGGTGGGCCAGGCCCCAACCCTCTCCCCACCCGCGCTGTGAGCACGTTTTGGCCTGCACTTTTGGGCCTTGACCCCTGATGAGGGGGAAAGGGGCTCACCGTGCGTGCAGTTTCTCTACACGCTCCCCAAGAGCATCCAGAGCCAGCTGCGTCCTCTTCTCCTGGGCCTGGATCGCCAGCATCACCTGCCCCAGGACGCTGCTGCCAGCATCGCCCCCAGCCAGACCCCCAAGCTGCTGTCTGATCTCTGCACGGGGGCAGGAGGGCACGGCTGGCAGCTAGCCCTCCTAGCTCCAGCCCAGACCCAGACTCTCCTGGTAACCAATGGCGTGGATCTTGGCTTCTCCCCGCTGCTCAGAGCCGGCCAGGAGGGTCAGTCCTGGGGGGCTTCGTCCCCCCTCTATCCCCTCCACGTCCCCAGTCCTAGCCATACCCTCCCGGTGCTTCTCCAGACTCCGAGTTCGGGCTCTGATCTCTGCCAGCCGACGAGCGTAGGCTGCTTCTAGGTGTGCCCGGGGCCCTGCAGTAGCCTGAAGAAGGGAGAACTTATCCCAGACAGGGCAGCATCCCCCTTCCCTGCCTGGGACTGAGGATCCTGGCATCCCAGGGCCCTTCTGCCCCAGGCCACGCTCTTCTGGGGACCTGGGGCTCTTCGAGCTCATCCCTTCCCAGCAGGGCGTCGTGGCCCCCGCCCCCAGGGACCCTCGCCGAGGGTCCACTGACAGCCAGACGTGGTGAATAGAGCCCTAGACCTGGAGTCCGACGAAGTTCCGATGCCACCTCAGATAATAGCTACGTGACCCTAAATACACCCTTTACCTCCCTGGCCTCAGTTTCCCCATCTTTAAAATGGGAGTTGGTCTCAAGGGGCTTTCCTGCTCCAGAGCCAGGATTCTCTGATCCTCACCTTCTGGGGAGAGGCTATGTCTTGCAGAGACATCCGAAGCCTTTGAACCTGGGGGAGGGGAAAAGGGGAACCTGTTGGTTCTGTCCTGGGGCTCCCGAGAGCAGAAGGCCTGCGGGGGTTGAGGACGAGAGACAAGGACAGGGACAGAGCTGAGATGAAGAGCGCCAGAGGCAGACAGAAACAGGAGAGATGGAGATCAAAGGGAGCAAAGCTGACAGAGGCAGAGGCCCACATAGACTCGGGGAGCCCTCAAGAACCCTCCTGGGGCTGCGGGTTGGGGGAAGGGGCATCGTCTCCCAGGCACCTCATCCGTCAGCCTCTTCAGGGCCGCTCCGCCGGCTTCCCCCTGGCCTGGGGCTTTCCTGGGGGTCTCCTGTTGAAGCTCAGGCTGCTGTGACCGGCCCTGGAAACAAGATCCAGGCTGAGGGGCCACGAGGCCCTGCCTGGATCCCATCCCTGGAGGAGTCAGGGGTCCTGGGAAGGCAGGTGGAGCTGGAACCCGCTCCCCACATTTCTCGGCCAATCAGGGGCCACAGGGATGGGAGGACCCATGCGGGCTGACTGGGCTGCCACTCACCTCTCTGTCCAGTGGGAGGGAAGCTGAGGGCTGGGCCGGGCTCTTCCTTCGGCCCCTGGGGACCCCTGGAGTGAGATGGCCAATGCAGAAGCGATAGGCGTGACTGTCTCGGAGAGTCCTTGAAGGGAAAACCATGTCACAGGCTGAGCAAGGAAACAAACCTGGGGTCTCCTGCTCCCCTGGCCCCTCTGGGCCTGTTGCCATCTCTGTGCCAGCAGCTCAGAGACAGAGACAACGAGAGACACACAGAGGCAGAGAGAGAGGGACAGAGACAGAGACAAGGAGAGACACACACAGAGGCAAGGAGAGAGACAGAGACAAGGAGAGACACACAGAGGCAGGAGAGACAGAGAC